GTGATTTAGAAGAACTGTACATGACTCAACCCCCAGGTTTTTGTGCAAAAGGTAGTGAACAGAAGGTATGCGGGTTGAAGAAATCTTTGTATGGGTTAAAGTAGTCAATGCAAGTTTGGTTTAGCAGGTTTCATTTAGTTGTTCAACAAATGGGGTTTAAACACTGCCGATCAAACCACACACTATCTGTGAAGGGTGAAGGAAAAATTGCAGCCCTAATTGTGTATGTTGAAGACATAGTAGTTACTAGTGACTGGACAACAAAATACAGAAATTGGAAGAGTTCTTAGCCACACAATTTGAGGTGAAAGATCTAGGTCCCTTGTGTTATTTCCTTGGAATTGAAGTTGCTTGCTCCAAAAGGGGGATATTCATCTCTCAAAGGAAATATGTTCTTGATTTATTGGAGGATACTGGGAAGTTAGGAGTGAAGCCGATTGATTCACCTATTGATCAAAATCATAGGTTGGGTGATAGTCAGGGAAAACCTATAAAAGATGTAAAGCAATTCCAAAGACTTGTTGACAGGCTCTCAAAAGTTGAAGTGTACACAGATGTCAGTGTTCTCAGCCAATTTATGCATAATCCCAAAACTACACATCTTGAGGCTGCTGAGAGGATTCCTAGATACCTAAAAAAGTTTCCAAGTGCTGGTTTGTTGTTCTAGAAACATGAGCATTTAAAAGTTGAAGTGTACACAGATGCTGACTGGGCAAGGGCAGATGACAGAAAGTCTACCAGTGGATATTGTACTTTTGTAGAAGGAAACTTAGTCACATGGAGAAGCATAAAAACAAAATGTGGTGGCTACGTCCAGTGCAAAAGCGGAGTATAGAGCTATGTCCCATGGAATTGCTAAGGTTATGTGGATAAAAAAGGCTTGTTAGGTGAACTGGGATTTACTGTTGATAGTCCCATGTCACTTTATTGTCACAATAAGGCTGCTATCAACATTGCAGCCAACCCAGTTCTCCATGATAGAACTAAACATATTGAGGTTGACAAGCATTTCATCAAGAAAAAATTCATAAGTGGAGAAGTGTGTACTCCCTATATTAGCTCTAAAGAAGAACTTGCATCTTAACAAAGGGGCTTCATCATCTGCGACACAATAATTTGTGTGACAAGTTGGGCATGATTGACATCTATGTCCCAACTTGAGGGGGAGTGTTAAAACTATTAGTTTTTTATGTATTATGGGCTGCAAGGGTATTGTGGTCTTTTTACTCTTCATGTGATTAGTGTGTTACCCTAATATATAAGAAAAGGCTGGTGCTGCCATCAAGGATTTTTGCCTCTCCATTTTATGTTTCTCTCTTCTTCTCTTCTCTTCTCTCTTCCTTTCTCTGCTTCTCCTTTTTTCTCTTATTTCTACCCAGAAAACAAGTCTTACAGCCACTTACTTGATGCCTAGAAAAATTCTCAAGTACAGCCCCCCCATCAGCTTCTCTATCCGCAGTCTCCTTTATTTTCTATCCCTCTTTGGGGTTTTGGGAATAAATGTTTTGTTCATGGCTTGTCACCTTTACGAGGTAAACTTGACCCTGAATATCACTTTTATTTTTCTTGGGCACCCTTTGTCTCAAAAAGGGTATAAGTTTTATGACCCTATGACCTCTAAGTCTTATATTTCTTTAGATGTCACATTCTTTGAACCCAATCTTACCATTTCACATGTCTATTCTTGCTACTCTTCCTACTCCTTCCACTTCTCCAGCTTCTACCCTCCTATTCCTTCTATTGCTTCTCGACAGGGCTGGCAATTGTGACCCTAACCCATTTGACCCACCTATTTGAGTGGTGGGTCAATATGGGTCAAGTTACCCATTAGGGTCGGGGTGGGTTAGTCAAGGGTACCCATTGGGTCATTAGGATAACATCAATATTAGCTTGTTAGGTTTTCCACACAAATATTGTTGCTTTTGTTATTTTTGTTGTGACTTTTAAGTGGTACCCATCATTTTTCGATGAGATATTCTTTTCTTGACATTCACTGTTGGAGTTTTAAGAATCTTCCATTAAAGCCCTTGCAAAACTCTAGCAAAAACCCAATAGAGAGAGAATACATTGTGTTTGCAGACCTCACCCAAAAATAGTGGAATTGAAACTTTGGAGTTGCAATGTATAGTATCCAACGTTTGAATCAAGTGAGGTACTTGAGATTTGAATGGTAATATAGGAACAAATATAGGGTCTGATTATGTTCCTCAATTCGTTACCTAGGTCGAACCAATGATAATAATGAAGAGAGCGAGAGAAGAGAAGGAGGAAGAAAGAAAAAGGGGGCAGAGGTGATTCAACTCCACTTGGGTGACAATGGTTGGACTGATTCAGCTATGTTTGGGTGGTGTGAGAGAGAGAGAGAGAGAGAGATTCAAATGACATGTTTATAAGTTCTGTTTTCTTTTTCTTTTTTGCCTCTTTTGGTGATTGATACCTTTTGGGTAAATGGGTTGATCCAGTTCAATAGTGACATGTGGCAACATAGGACACATGGCTTGATTATATATTTTCTTGCAAATATGTACTTCTCTGTATTACCTTCAAATTTTTGCATTTCTTGCAAAATTCTAGTAATATTTTTACATTTTCCTACAATTTTCTGTATTTTTCGAGTATACAGGTTGATCCAACCCGTATATGCCATGTGGCAATCATGAGAAGTGCAAACACTTCTCTTAGATTTTCTTTTTGGATATATGGGTTAACCTGACCCACATATGCCATGCAACAATCATGAAAAAGGATGTGGGTTAGTGGGTCAATATGGGTGGGTTGGTACTCAACCCAAACCCAACCCAACCATTTGCCACCCCTACTCCTTAGGAGGAGTGGTTTCCTACTTGTCCTCAAGTCCTTGTCATACTTTTTCTCGTGATCCTCAGGGGACAGATCCTTATTTTGGTCTATTGTCTTCACAAAGAAGTATTGGTCCCTTTCTCTTGCCACCTATCATTGATGACCTTAATGTTACTATTGCACATTGTAAGAGTGTCAGAACTTGTATTACCAAGAATCCTAAAAGCCTTGAAGAAGCCCTAGAATCTTCTGAATGAACACATGCAATGCTAGATGAGATTAATGCCCAACATAAGAATAACACGTGGGAACTAGTTAATCTTCCTCAAGGAAAGGATCCTGTTGGGTGTAAGTGGGTTTTTATAGTAACGCATGTAAAGCACATAGACAATGGATCCATTAAGAGATATAAGGCGAGACTAGTAGCAAAAGGCTTCACACAAATGTATTGTGTTGATTACACGGAGACATTTGCACCTGTTGCAAAGATGAACTCTATATGAGTTTTATTGTCCTTGGCAGCCAATTTGGGATGACATCTTCATCAACTTTGCATAAAGAATGCTTTAGATTTGGAAGAAAAAGCATATATAGTTTAACCTCCAAGTTTTTATAAGAAAGGAAGTGAAGGGAAGGTTTGTTGTCTCAAGAAGTTTTTATATGGGTAGAAACAGTCACCAAGGGTGTGGTTTGGCTGGTTCAACAAAGCAATTTAGTAAATGGGGTTCAAGCATGCTAGTCAGATCATACAATGTTTGAGAAAAATATAGGAAAATTGTTGTTCTCATTGTGAATATGGATGATATTGTCATAACAGGTGACTGGGAGATGGAGATACAAAGGCTGAAACAGTTCTTGGCTTCTCAGTTTGATGTAAATGATCTAGGTCCTCTTAAGTATTTTCTTGATATTGAAGTTGCTCGTCAAAAAAGGGTATCTTCATTTCCCAATAGAAATACATCCTAGATCTCTTACAAGGTACAACTAAACTTGGGTGTAAACTAGCTGACACTCCCATTAAGTCTAATCATAGATTAGGAGACTGTACAGGGATACAATGGTGGATGTTAGACAATTCCAAATACCTGTTGGGCGGTTGTTATACCCTTCTATGACCCAGCCTAGTATTGCAATGTTGTTGACGTTTTCAATCAGCATGCACATGCTCCTAAAACATCACGTCTTAGCAGCTAAAAGAATATTGAAGTATTTGAAGAAACATCTTGGTAGAGGTGTATTGTTCGCTACTAATGGACACTTGAGAGTTGAAGACTACATAGATGTGGATTATGCAGGCTTTATAGATGATAGGAGGTCAACTTCTAGATATTCCACGTTTGTGGGAGGAAACTTGGTAACTTGGAGAAGTAAGCAATCAATGGTGGCTCACTCAAGTACAGATGTAGAGTGTTGTGCAATGGCAAATGGGGTGACTGAGATGTTATGGGTAAAAACTATGCTTCTTGAGTTAAGTCGTATGATCAGCCCTATGTCTTTATACTATGATACAAAACTGCTATCAGTATTGCCCACAACCCTATTCTCTATGAAAGAATGAAGAATATTGAAGTTGACATGCACTTCATGAGAGAGAAATTAGACATTGGTGACATTTGTACTCCTTACATTACCTCAAATCAATTGGCTGGTATTCTTACAAAATGAGTCCCTGCCTCGTCATATGGGACTTCGTAACATGTTGGGAATGACCCAACTTGAGAGGGAGTGTTGTAGTGTAGTTTGCTTTATTATTATGCTGGTTCCTTTCCTCCTCATGTTATTCTAGTATCAGGGGTATTTCTGTCTTTTTCCACAGTAGTATGGTTGCCCTTTTATAATTAATAATAAGAGGGGCTGCTGTCCAGACCACTTTTGACAGCTCCAAATACTTGTCTCTCTTCTTCCTTCCTCTCTTCTTCAAAGGAACCTAACACTGAAAACAAAAACAGATTTCATAGTACAGAATTTATATGATTTATGGAACATGATATTAAATAACCAAATGAAAACATGTTCTTTAAACCAGAAATTCAATTACATATTTTCGGTTGTGTTTTTGTTTTAAGAATCAATTTGTTTTCAAACCAGCTGGTTCTGTTTTGTTTTTGGAACTTGCAACAAGAAAAACCATTCACATTGAGAACACCCCCTTTAATAAATAGTTTTATAACACCTGTTTGTGTATTATTGATCGGATGTACCTTTGAGATTGCATCTTGAATGAATGATTCGACCTGTGAAAAATCCAGAAGGACCAGGCTAGGTTTATAAATTCATGGAATGGAGTTATTACAAGAAAATACTGAATGACCAATTAATAAAATGAAGTCATAATTGACCTTCTGTACTGCACTTTCATTGATTAGTGGACCCTGTACAAAATGAACAATTTTGTTGGGTAAGATATTTTATTTTATGAGTAAAAAAAGGGCTTGTATTAAATGAAGAGACAAATTCCCTTTGCAATAAGGTTAAAAGGTATAAACTGCTTTTGTATAGCAATATGTCATTTGTTAGTTAAGATCTATGTGCTCAGAAAAGCACAAAATCCTGAACAATGTATTTACCTAGGAGAAAAGCATAAAACCCTGACCACCTAGATAGAAATTCTTTAAGTTGGCATCGAGTAATCTATACCTGAGCCACACCTTCTGTGAAGCCATCACCTACTTTCAAATTTTGAACAGCTCTAGCAAAAGCATTGGCAAATTTGTCATAAATACCTGCACATAAAGGCCTTTTAAATCCTCAAACTTCTTACTTAGTGGTAAATAAAGGTGTATAAATCCGAAAAGACATGTACACATGAGAGGATAATAAAGAAACCATAAAATGGCAGAGAAATTAAAGTTTCAAGACAATTGGTTAAGAACAATTAGGCCCATGGGAACTTCCATACTGCTGAAATTCTGAATGTTGACATCCACCTAACCCCATTCATATCTTATATAAATATGCATGTATTCTGAAAGTGAATGCTGTTAAAATTGGTTGAATTCATCCATTTAAGTTTTATTTTTGTTGACAGAACACACATGCATATATAAATGCTGATATGCATACCTAGATGCATGCACATCTCTGTTAAATGGCACACACGTCTTGCAAATTTGCAACAATGGTGAGTCTGAAAAACTGTATGAATGAAAACTAAGGGAAGTAAAAAGTATTTGAGAAGCCGGGCATTCAGATCACTATATATTCTGACCATGGTTCACAATATTAGTAAAATTTGGTAAAATCTATTTGAAATCTCTACTTTTCACTGGGATGATATAAAATATTCCAAAAATCTTTCTTTCCCTCGTATCTTTGATATATTGCTGATATATCAGAAGCAGTTTGAATTTCATTGATAAATTTGGCAAAATCTTCTTGAAATCTCTCCTTTTCACTGGGGATGATATAAAATATTCCAAAAATCTTTTTTTCCCTTATATCTTTGATATATTGCTGATATATCAGCAGCAGTTTGAATTTCAATGATAAATTTGGCAAAATCTATGGTGAACCAATGAAATTTAAGCAGCACTTTGAATTTCATTGCCAAATGTGAAAGTACATTTTGTTAAATGTGAACCAATGAAAACTACGCAGACTTTAAAGTGATTGGTTGAGATCTGAATTTAATGTGCACGCTATGTTAGTGAATGCACCGTAGTTGAACTCATAAATTATACATCTAATATTTAATGATTCAGAATATCAATGAATTTTTCTGATGTTTCATTGAAACAATTGAAATTTTGAAATCTTTTTCCGGATTCTTGATTGGATGTTTAACTTACTATTATGCATATGATTTACTAAGTTATTTAACTAAAAGAAGAAAAAAAAATGAATCACTACAACAGAGGATAGTCAGTTTGTTTCTCTAGACAGCTGACCCTTTATACAATTCTATTCATTACTGTTAAAAAATTACAATTTGTTGACTGTTAACAATAACAACCGACTAAAAATAGTAGAAACAATAGGAAAAAGAACAAAACTACTTTAAAACTCTCCCTCAAGCTGGAGCATATATATCACCCTCCCTCAAGCTGGAGCATATATATCATATGGTTCCAGCTTGTTACAAATATAGTCCATCCTTGACTTGTAGAGACAATATGTGTTAGAGGGTTATTTTTGTCCTTTTATTTCTTGGGAGCACCCTTATATTGTGCCCCTCTTGTACACTAGATCCTTATTTATTCTTTTATACATTACTTGTATCTTAAGGACAGAATGGTCCTTTTACTACTTTAATATAAGGGTAAAATACAAAAACCTCCCCTGAAGCTTCTGACAATCATACAAACCTCCTCTATAGTTTCATTTTAACAAATACCACCCCTGAACTTTTGAGAAACTCGACAAAAAGCCTCCCTCCTGTCACCTTTCCAGATGGAAAACGTTAGACTGATGCACCAGTTTTTTCCAAATTCCCATTCTACCCTTTTATAATTATTTTACATACACAATTACTGAAATAACCCTATTTTAATTTGACAAAAGCCTCCTTTAACAGTCATCTTTCAACATTTTTGTTGAGTTAAAACAGGGTTATTTCAGTAATTTTGTATGTAAAATAATTTATAAAAGGGTAGAATGGGTATTTGGAAAAAACTGGTGCATCGGTCTAACGTTTTCCATCTGGGAAGGTGACGGAAGGGAGGTTTTTGTCGAGTTTCTCAAAAGTTCAGGGGAGGCATTTGTTAAAATGAAACTATAGGGGAAGTTTTTATGATTGTCAGAAACTTCAGGGGAGGTTTTTGTATTTTACCCTTAATATAAATATATTTTCATGGGTGTAGGCTGTCACTTTTGACACACCTGAGCAGTGCTTGCTCTCCTCATTTCTATTCTCAGAAATTGACTCTGACATGGTATCAGAGCAGGTCATGATCTAGTCTGTTGAAGAGAGATTCTTTTGCTCTGTATTATACCATTCTCTAGGAATGATTTCACAATGATTGTGGGTCCTATCCTCAGTGCTGGATACTACTTCTTTAAGCTGTTTCAGACAGCCAATATCAAGTTCTGTTTCTGGATCTCTACACCCCCAGATTTGGTATTTTTATTGGTTCTCTTATATGGAGCACTAGATATGCATAAAAATTTGGATTTGGTATCGCCCAGAGGAGTTCAACTGGTCTTTCTTTGCCTGGTTTGGATTGTCTCTGTTTGAGAGTGATTTTGATCTCTCTCTCTCTCTCTCTCTCGGATTGCCTGACTGGTACAGTTTCCATTTCTGGACAGGTGAACAATCTCTTGGTAGTCCTGTTACTTTTTGTTGTTCCTAGCTGTTTTAATCAGTTGCTGGACTGCCCCTATTTTCTGAAGATGTATCAAGGAGATTTTCGTCTGCCAGCAAGGTGTTTGCTGTTTTGTCTCTTTGACTGTGTTTTAGTTACATTGAGTGGACTGCCGCCATTTTCCTCTTCTTTGGAGCAATTCTTACTGCTGCTGTTTTCAGAAAGAATGGGTATCCTTCCTACCAAATTTAATGGGCCCAAGTATGCTTTGTGGAAATTCAACTTGCAATTTCATGTTAAGGCTAAGGGACTTTGGGACTATTTGGATGGCACAACCATTAAGCCTGGTGATTCCAACGCAAAGGCCCTAAGACAATGGAAATTTGAGAATGCAAAGATTGCATCCTGGATACTTGGACCAGTAGAGGTTGACATTGCCATTCCTATGCATGAGTACATGACTGCTTATGAGATGTATCAATATCTTGAGAAGGTCTACCAGCAATCAAATCTTTTGAGACAATATCAAATTGAAGTTGACATATTTTCTTATCATCAAGGAGAAAGAAAGATTCAGAGTATTATGCAGGGTTCATTAACCTATGGATTGAATATGAGTTGGTGCACATGGGAGATGATCCATCAACTTATTGTGTGAAATTTATGAGAACACATTTTGATAGAAGAAAGATTATGCATTTCTTAATGCATCCTAGGCCAGAATATGAGATTGTGAGTTCTAATGTTCTCAGTAAGGGAGACCCTTCCGGATATAGAGTATTATACATCATAGGAAAAGGTTTCCTCTACATCTGACTCTTGCTTACTTTCTATTACTTGTTTTGAGACTGCTAGTGGTAATAATTCATGGCACTTATAGCATAGACACCTTGTCCACCGCTTTTCTAAGAAACTAGATTATTTGTTTGCTTTTGGTAGTTTACGAACTTCAGTTACTACTTTTAAAGATATTAATAAAGCTTGCATTACTTGTTGCTTGCGCAAGAGTCATATCAAACCTTTTCCCTTCGATTCTAAACATGCATTTGTTCCATTTCAGTTAATACATAGTGATATTTGGTCGTCTCCAGTTGTCTCCAAGATGGGCTTCAAATATTTTGTGACTTTTATTGATCATTACACCCGCTTTACTTGGATTTACTTTCTTCACAAGAAATCAGAAGTGATTTCAACCTTTAAGTTGTTTCAAGTTCATGTTGCAACCCAATTCAAAACTAACATATGCAACCCAAGTTCATATTTCAAGTTAATGAAGAATTTCAAACTTGAAACAACATGGCATCCAATCCAAAAATTCGTGTCCTAGTACACCACAACAAAATGGGGTGGTAGAGAGGAAGAACAAACATATCTTGAGTGTAGTGAAAACCCATTGCAGGATTCCCATGTACCTTCTTGGTTTTGGGTGGAGGTGGCCAACACAGTTGTCTACCTTATAAATCTCCTTTCCATATTAGTGTTCGTTTGGTTTCCAAGAATAGGTGCTTGGAATCGGAATCAGAATGGCCCATTCTGATTCCTACTGTTTGTTTGGCAGGAATGAGATTCCCATTCCAAAGTATGTCAAGAAGTAAAGAACTCATGACAAAAAGCCACCCAAATGCAAATATTAATAAAATAATAAATTATTATTAAATTAATAATAAGATAATAATAAATAATATATTAATAATCAAATAATAAATACTAATAAATTATTAACAAAATATTAGTAAAATAGTAATAAAACAGTAGTACAATAATAAAATATTAATAAATAAATAATAAAAAGAAAAGATATTATTTATTTAATAATTATCATAATAATAATGAAGTACAAATAAAATATTAATATATTATAATTAAAGTAATAATAAAATACTAACACATTATTTATTAAATAAATATAAATTAATTTTAAAATCATAAAGAAAAATAATAATATTCATAAACTAATTAAGAAAATTATAATAAAATAATCAATTATTAATAAAATATAGTAATAAAAATATTATTAAAGTAATAATAAATAATATATTAATAAAATAATCATAAATTAATGATAAATACTAGGATATTAATTATTACTAATACAAAATTAAAAATTTTCAATTGATTCCGATTCAAACTTCAAATGAACCAAATAGCAACAATCTAATCCGATTCTGATTCCTAATGAAACTAATAAGGCATCAAGAATAGGTCATTCCGATTCCAAGGGATTTCGATTATGATCTTGTTTGCGAACCAAACAGACCCTTAGTCCTTGATAACTCTTCTCCTTTTCAATCCCTTTTTAATCGCCCCTTAGACTTTTCCATGCTTCGGGTATTTGGTTGTACATGCTTTGTTCATCTTCCCCCACAAGAATGCACTAAGCTAACTACTCAAGCTGCATTGTGTGCTTTTGTGGGTCATATTCCTAACCACAAGGGCTTCTCCATTACTAGATGTTGGTCATCCTACTTCATCAACCCTTGTAA